TTTAATGAATTTAATATACAGTATCATTAGAACATGCTGAAAAGATATTCGACGGAATTGATGAAGTTAGGTGATCATTTGTTATTCTTTTTGCTTCTAAGATGGAAGTTTTCGTTGTGTTGTGGTTTTAATAATGATAGAGACCCTTGATTTTTCCTAAATTCTGTATTGTATTATCATTAATTAATTAGTCTTGACCACATACGTCTTGCGTAGGCCTTGGTAAGAAAATTAAATACTGGTGCAACTGATACATTTACTTGGAGATTCTATAAGCACGAAATGAATGAGACATAATGTCTTACCTCCATAGGTAGAAAAAGGAGGGCTCAGTTGAACTTCATTATCTCTTTAGTAGGGCATCAACATCTAATCATTTATGCCCTGTCTTTTTTTAAAAAGAATATGGAGACCTTCAAATGCAAAGTTTAGAAAATAAATTTTGAATCAAATCTCTTAATATTATTTTTGCCTCCTATCATTATTTCAAGTGTGTTAAGTTTAATGTAAGACAAATAAATTTTTTTTATATTTACGCTATCATATAGCCAACTATAGTATTGCACGTGCTTCTTACTAGTACTCATTAATACCTGACTATTAGCAATGAACTACTGTGAACAGGATGTGCCACGGGAATATGGAGTGCAGGCAATGCCATCTTTCATACTGACAAAGAAAGGTAAAGAAGTTGATAAACTTGTGGGGGGCAACAAAGACTTCAGAAGAAGATTTAGAAACACATGTTCTAATACAGATCAATAATGCATCGATTAACCCAACTGGGCATCTGTAATAAATTCAAAAACAATAAGGGTATGCTTGGTACAAATACCAGAACAGTAAAATTATCTAGAGTTTAAGTTCTTCCTGAATACTGTCTAGTACTACTGAATTCTCGCCACCAAACATGCCTTAAAACAGTATGAAACTATAAGACACAAAACCAACATATAGTCACAAAAAGCTGCACAGCTGAATGAGAAAAGGGTATCATATCTCACGCAACCAAAACTAAAATTTATATGTTCAAAACTCCAATACATACCGTTTAGGATCCACCATGATAATCAAGAAGCATTAGCACATTATTATTTTTACAGGGTGTGGCGATCGAAATAGCAACAACTAATTTCGCGCATCTCAGATGCTGCTATAAAGTTCTAAAATGTTGCCAGGAACAACTCGATCTATTTCTTCTACTATGCACAACCTTCCTAGTCCGAAAATGTCAAGTATTTACATTTAGTAGCATTTGCATAACTACTGTTAATGGTAATCTATAACCATTGAGTTGAACCAGGAATTAGTTGGTTTTCCTGCCCAGCACCCTCCTCAAATCTGATTTCTGTTCAGCAGAAAGCCTTGAGGGGAATTTGATGTCAAATTTGATCCTCAAATTTCCATTTTTACCCGGTTCTTTGGAAATGGGCATTCCTTCATTTTGGATCAACATTTCATGCCCTGGTTTGACAATATCCGAGACTGGAATACTAAGATTCCTTCCGTCCAAGGTTGTTATGTTAATAGTCTTACCCGTAAGAGCATCGAGTAGGGAAATTTTCTGATAGAGTATTAGATCATTGCCGTCCCTCTTAAACATAGGATGCGGCTTCTCATCCACTACAAATGTAAGGTCTCCTGGGGTAGCGCCAGCTTCATGGTTCCCTTTCTCTGGGAAAGTAATCTTTGTTCCCTTCTTCCAGCCCGGTTTAATATGTATTGCCAAGACTTCTTCAACAGTGCTAGGCTTGCTGCAGAAATTATACACATCAATGGATGGAAGACTAAAGATAGAGTGACAGAATGCATCAAGGAAGAGAGAGAGCAGGGTGAGAACGCTAATATATTGGGGCAATGTTCTGCACACTCAGCTATGGTGTGCTAGATTTATTCCTCCACCCCTCCCAAATAAATAAACTAAAGCATAATCCTAAAAATAGAAAGCATCCAAAATTGCCCCAGCCTATAAACTGCAGGCTCCCGAACCCAAAGCAGGAATGGAGAACGACTCTAATAACAACAATACTAATCATTATCATAAAACAATTATCAAGCTGTTATCATTTTCATACTTTTAAAATGAATTTCAACCCAAAAGTCATTGTCGAGTTGAAAAATCATCAAGCATTATTGACTGCAAGAATGTGAAATATAAACATATAGGCACACACACAAGAATCGAGAGAGAATGCCAAATGCTACTTTAATGTAAACTGGATGGAACATTAACTAAAATCTCTATAAAATTTCAGCATTATTTTCCTTAATGCATCACAACTTCTTTACCTCATAGGTGCAGTCAATAATATCAGCTTGGGAAATAAGAAAATACACGAGCTATAGGTGATGCCTATTAGTTTATTGAGCCTATCCCTTAGAAAAGGAACAAAGAAACAGTTAAGGCATATGATATGAAAGCATGAAACACACAGATATCAGTAATATTGTAACAAAACATAAAAAATGCAAAAATCTAATTTCTAAGAAGAAAGATATAGTTTGTAACTAGGTAGCAAAGAAACCCAGTTATCTTGGAAAACAAGAACTAGCACTTTATCACTACAGTGAAAACTAGATATGAGATAATCCAATAACCAAAGACTTCGTTCCTAATAAATATGGGGCCAGCAAAACTAGATATAAAAAATATAGAATCCTTAGAAAACAAGTTTCTCCTGAACACAGTAGAGTAGAACTTATTGATCTAATGTAAGAACACTCCTTCCTCCATGATACGTAATCAGAGAACCAATAGCAATTAATAGTTTTATAGATCCGTCTCTATGACATATAAAACACTGTTGCCACCATTCTTGTATTTTTATAAAAGTCGTTTTTTTTTTTTATAGAAAATTAAAAAACTCCAACTGGCTTATAGGACATGAAATCATCAACCATAAGATATAGAAACAACAGAAACTGTCAGTTGTTTCACAACCAGACATAGGAAATAATGTGCGGCAATAATGGGGAAAGTAATATTTACTTTAACATTTTACCATTTATTCCACTTAGATTGTGAACTTAACAAAATATAAAAAACTACGACAACTTTTAATGGAATTTAAGTAGTTAGCCTCTGACTCCAATAACTAATGCCGTCATATAGCCAATCGAGAAGGGGAAAAAAAACAAATTAAACAAATCTGCCTAGAGTCCTGCTGACATCAGCGAGACTGAACTTTATTTGAAAATTTAATAGAAGTATTTATCTGCACATTTTGCTTACATAAGAATGATAAAATTTAATATTAGTTCTCCAGTCAGGTGCCTGCATAATGTAGTAACTATTCCAAACACATACAAAGCCGGAGACTCACTTTAATTTAGATAACCCATAAATTAATATATAAACACAACAACAAACTGAAAGTTAACGACATTTTGTTAAATCCATTCAATTTCATGATGTAGACCTTTTCTTAAATATTTAACATAAATAGCAATAATGAAAACATAGTGATGCATTGCACTGTTTATGGAAATATTCATTACAAAGCTTCAATTATTATTTTTTATTTTCAATTCCTTGTACAGATATCGACAAATAGCCATTTATTCAATCTCATGCAAAACAATTGAAAGCTATAGCTTAGCCCAGAATTATAAACAATAACACAAAATTTCTGTTGCACGAACAGAGATATACACAGAGTACAGAGACACATCCATTCACTCTGAAAGTTAATCCAACGAACATAATTTCCAAATAAAAGGCGCCAAACAAGAAAAAGAAAAATCCTTGAACAAATTTACAATCCTCATCTACTTTCGTTTCAGACATTCATGGAGAAGTTTTCATCACACCGTACCCAAATAAAAGGAGACCCCGGGACATTAAAGTTTCCATGACCAATCTACACAAGCATACACACTTATATTGTGTCCCAATTTTCCTTTTACTGTCATATTTTCAGAAATATAGGAATAAGCATGCTTAAATATAACATATTCGTCTATCACATTATAAATCCCTATACCATGTGTAAAATGCACCTACACACGTAACAAAAACTTCAATATACTTTGTCTATTTTCCTTTCATGTTAGGCTTTATTCATCGTCTGATGAAACAAAAGGATCACTGAAACAAGGATGTTCACCTAATCAACAACTATCTTGATAATGCAAAAGGGCATTAGAGGCTAAAGTATCTTCAACACCATTGCCTCAAGTGGAATAAAAGGACAGCCGACAGGTATAAATCAAGCTATAAAGGAAGAAATAGCGGACAGAAGTGCTCCCTCTGGAGCAAAGATGGATGGGTTCGTGATTGGCGCTGTTGTATTTTTTTCTATCTGATTTAATGCATGATCAGAAAATTAGTAAATGTGAATTCTCCATCTTTCAGTTTATTTACCTTACCAATGTATTTCCACATATTTATTAGCTATAGACAAACAACTCCTAGAAAAAACAAGAAGCTAAGATCAAGGGATCATAATATAAAAGTACATACAGGCAAAGATTCTCTCAAATTCCAATTCCATCAAACTTCCATGGTATATTTAGCTTACACGAAGGGGAATCGACTATACTTTCGACAAGATTTTAGCTTATTTTTTTAATAATGTGAGTTCAGGCAGCATACCAAACGTGCATCAAAGTTTATGCAAGACTCGACTCCATTGCATCAATTTCAAGAGCAGAGATAAAACTGGACCGACAGAAAAATCATGCAAAATCAGAGTACTTTTTTAATAATATACCTACCCATATTCATCAAGAACAATCCTGGAGATCTTCATCTTCCTTTTTGATCCCTTGTACAGCTCCTCCAAGGTACATGGCAATTTATTCTCCATCGGCGCCGCCTTCCTCATCCTTCCTCCTCCACCACCACCACCGCCTCCGCCTCCGCCAAAACCGTCACTTTTCCCTTCAAACCCATCATTCATCCCACCAAAAAACTCTTCAAATATATCCCTTGCCTCCCTCGGACTGGACCCAGAATCAAAACCATATTTCAGCCCTTCCTCTCCATTTAAATCATAGATCTGCCTCTTCTGTGGATCACTCAGCACATCATATGCCTCAGATATTTCCTTAAACTTCGCTTCTGCTTCCTTAGTGTTCACGGCATTCTTGTCAGGGTGCCATTTCATGGCCAATCTCTTGTAAGACTTCTTCACATCCTCTTCACTTGCATTCCTTGAGACTTTCAGAATGTCATAGTAATTAACGCCCATTTTTGCCGTCAATTCAAGAATTTTCTTGGAATGAGTAGAAAAAGATGCTGCCAGAGAAAAACGTGAATATGTATACAATGAGGGGTTCTAGAAGGTTGTGGAGGCGGGAGTGGATCTGCGTCGGTAAGTTCCGGCGGTTCAGCCGGTTGATCAGCTTTGTGAACTCCGGAGGCGCAGTCTAGCGGAGCGGCGGATATTGTGCTAAGATACGCTAAAGGGTCGATATTTTAAGGGTACGGGTTAAAGTGACAGACAAGGGACAGTCACATGACAAAAGAACAGCGGATCAAGGTAGGGTGAGAAATCTGAGAGCACGTTTGGGAATGTATTTAGAAATTAATGGTCGGTTTGATACAGATTTTTATTTTTTACGGTAAATCAATTCTCATTTTCAACCACACATTTTTCAATAAAATAATATTTTTCATCACATCAATAATATTTTTTCTTCTTTTTTCAACCACACATTTCCTATCATATCACTATTCAAAAATCAATTTTTCCCCCAAAAATCCCTACCAAACACACTCTAATTATTCCCCCAATCCCATTTGATTTTCACTATCGATTAAGAAAGAAAAATATTATTCATCCCCAGTGAGAATGCATCCCCAATCTATGTGGATGTAAATGATTGGTTAAATAATATGTGAAATTAATTTAATTTCACCTATCATTTAATGACATATTAACGCCACATAGATTGAGAATGCATCCCCAGTGGGGATGAATAGCATTTCTCATTAAGAAATCTTATTTAAAAAAAGAACAGCAGATCAAGGTAGGGTGAGAAATCCGAAAGAATGTTTGGGAATGTATTTAGTGTTTGTTTGGGAGAGATTTTTGGGGGAAGAATTGATTTTAAATAGTGATATTATGGGAAATGTGTGGTTGAAAAAGAAGAAAAAATTATTGATGTGATGAAAAATATTATTTTATTGAAAAATGTGTGATTGAAAAAATGTGTGGTTGAAAAAAAAGAAAAAATTATTGATGTGATGAAAAATATTATTTTATTGAAAAATGTGTGGTTGAAAATGAGAATTGATTTACTGTAGAATTTTGAGAATCCCTCCCAAACAAGGCCTTAGAAATTATTCCTTTAATTCAAGTAAATGTCAAACAATCAATATTAATCACATCTTTTATGGATTCCACAACTTTTCAACATCACATTTCAAAAACTTTTATCACAATCTACTAAAAATCTAATTTTAATCCCTACCAAACACCCTCTTGATGTTATTGAAAAAGTATTTTTTTGCCAAAAATTTCCTACTTTAGCCTTATTTAATTATTAACAATCAGTAGTAAATTATTGTTGGAAGCGGTAAAGAAATTGTATGGTTTAATTTTCAAAAGAGTATGTTATGTAAACCCACTGGAATTATAACCCAGTTTAGATGGCGCTGCATGATATGTTGAATGAAATGTAAAATTAAATAATTTAATTTAACATATCATTTAATGTCACATAAATCTTACCTAGATTGAGGTTGTAATCCCAATGAGATTAAATTAGAGGTGGCAAACATGTTGAGCGGCTCGATTGCTCGGCTCGTGAAAACACGAGCCGTGAGCCGCTCGATCTCGTCAAATGACGAGCCCCGGCTGAGCTTCAAGTGAGCTCGACGAGCCGAGCCCACAAGATGTGAAAAATTAAAGAAAATTTTTAAAAAAACGTGAAAAAGTTAAAACAAAAAAAATTCAAAAAGCTCGTAGGCTCGCGGCTTGGCTCGTGAGCTCACGAGCTCGTGGGCCGAGCCGAGCTCGCCCACGAGCAAATGAGCTCAATCCGAGCTCGTGGGTTTAAGGGCCGAGCCGGCTTGGCCCATTGACGTCACTAAGCTAAATAATATTACTCTTTTCAAAAAATATGTATCTTTATATTTGTACAGTTTCAAGATTAAATAGGAAAAAATGATTATAATTAGGCAATTTAAATGATGGTATATTAGTAAACGAAAAAAAACAAAACATTCTCAATAAGGAAACATGACTATATAATTGAGACAAGAAAATAATGAAAGTCAGTCTATATAAATAGAATGGAGGGAATATAATTAAGTTATTTTATATTTAACCAGTGTTGATAGAAATTTTAATCTAGATTTTTATTGAAATCAAAATTATCAATTAATTTTAACCACATATTTCATGGGATTTACAACTTTTCAATTACATATTTTATTAAATTTTATCAAAATTTACTAAAAATTTTATTTTAATCCATACCAAACAAGAGTTATTTACATCAAAGTGACAAATTCAGTCTTAAAGCATTTTTAAATCTAATAACTTCCGTCCTAATATTTTTTTTTATCTAATCAATTTAAATGATAAATAGATAGAATAATTGTTGGGTTGGTAATATTTATGAGTTTCACGTAATATATGAATAAAAAGTGATTTGATTGAAGTGTCAAAACAAGGACTAAAACATAATAAATCGGTTATAAAATACTCTACATAGGAANCAAGAACTAAAACATAATAAATCGGTTATAAAATACTCTACATAGGAATAGACTAAGGGTGTATTTGAGTCACATTATTTTGTAAGAATGTATTTTGGAATAGTAAATTGATAGAGAATGTGTGGTTTTAAAAAAGGAAAATGTATTGATGTGGTGGAAAATATTATTTTATTGAAGAATGTGTCGTTGAAAATGAGTAGAAGAATAAGAATGAAAATTTTAATGTAGCTCAAATAGGGGCAAAATACATTCTAATCCCCTTCAAACTTGATTAGTTGGCCTGGTCCAATTTCTTTGTTCGATTATGAATTGAAGGATGTATCAATCAATAGTTATCAACCCAACCTTATGGTGACGTCCCTAAGTTATTCGCCCATACCCTATGTAAAACTTGATAGGATCATCTCAGCCAATCACCTTGATCATCACTTGGGGAAATGCAACGACATGATGGAACCTCTCAAGTCTCTATATCCTATACAAACCTCTACCTAGAGAGTCCTACCGTGCAAGACTCTTCCCACCATAAGAATGTCTTATAGGGAAGCATCTTCCTTTACGTCATAAGAGTCTTGCACCATAAGAATGCCTTATCCTACTAAAACTCCCAAGCCCATAGCCATGTGCGAACTCAGGGAATCCTAATCTCTATAAGATTACACCATGTTTAGTATAAATATAAGCATTTGGCTCATTATTTCGATATGCTCTCACCGATGCGCTTTTTAACTTTTCGCGTATTTGCTTTCTTTCTTCGATTAATTCTTGTACTAGAGGGGCGATGAGATCCCACCCTCCACCTTTTTGTAGGTACTGGGAAATTGCTTGCTACATTACTTGAAGTCTCCAATTCGGTGATTTTCATGTCATCCCAACTGCAGTAGTCGCCGATGGCTAACCTTACCTTGACCTTCAGCATACCTTGGGTCAATACAAGCACTAGTGAGATCATTGGGTTGTCCTATATCACGAGGCAAGCTCCCTTACCTTAACCCAGACTTGATTGTTAGTAGATAATTAATGTCGTTTTCCAGAATAGTTGCGAACCTTCCTCCTAAACAGCATAGATGTCATTCATTCTCGATATCCTAGTCTATCATCTACCCGAGAGGTACAAGTACCTAGGCATCAAATTATCGAGAGAAAAACTTGTCCAATTACCCATTTGGATCCTTTCACCGACTATATAAACCTCTAGGTCACCCCAGATCCCATATTTTCCAAGGCCTTTCCTTACACACTTATTGAGGTGGCTTACATGTGGTTTGACTTATTAGAGACAAATTATGTATCATCCTTCTCCAACATGGCCTCCAGGATTTGTTAGCTACTTTCCAGCAGCAAATGCCTAAAAAAGATGGCAGCCTCACTCGTGCAAATTGTCTAAGGACCCGATGAGCCTTTGAGAGTATTCATGGATTGCTTCAAATCTGAGAGGCTTGAAATTCTCGACCTCCAAATCTCAATAGTGGTCTTTACACTCGCTCACACCGTTTGTAGAGAGGCTTTCAAAATGTCCCTTGTGAAGAATCTACCTTAGACTACTAATCTAACTGTTCGCTTAATTGTACGAACTCCTTACCTAAAGCAAAAAATGCATTAACTTAGAAGAAATAATGAACGCATGGACCTTAGTCCAACAGTGATATTCTGACAAAGTCGAAGAAAAGAGGTCGCGCAAATCAGGAGACGAGGGTGAGGATCAAGGTTCATGTATTTCTCGAAGCGCCCTTAGCATGACTAGAAAATATGAGGAGTTCATACCCTTGATACCTCCAGGGTCGAGTCCTTAATAGATATCAAGGATAATAAGGACCCTACAGCTTAAAAGACAAACGAAAATCCCTACCTCAACCTTGTAATGCTAAAAATCTCAAAACTTAAGTGAAATGGTCGATCAATTATGGACCCCTTTTCCTGCCTAGTGTCGGCCTGCATGGCCGCAATTAATTTTCTTATTTATCTTTATTTTTCATTTTATTTATCAAGCATATGTACCAAAGTCGGGCTATACCTCATGTATGTCTTCTTCTAAGGTCATGAGTCAACGGGTTGTGTTCTCGAGTCCCTTTTGTTAAAAAACGATTTTTACTTAAATGACTTAACTTGCCTCGAAAAACATACTCACGCCTCAAGTTATATAGACTTTGGGCTCTCTAAAAGCTCAATCTCTTAAACTTTTATCAACGAGACCTAAGCTCACTAAAGAGTCCTTGACCATTATTATAAACATCAACTCACAAAAATCCTTGACCTCATGCCATCATGACTAGTTTAATGGGAGCATCAATAACATTAGCCTTAGGTCGTTATTACTTTGGGAGAGCCTCGTGCCCAAGTCATTAATAACTTGGGGAATGGGATAGAAAGTCACGAAGGATGAGATGGGCTTATACTATCTTAAAATGGACAATACGTAAATTAACGATTTGGACATAGAGGTTCAGATCGTTACAAAAAAATACACATTTTTGTGTAATAACCGAGCCTCGTATCAAAGTCGTTATATCATATATATTGTCT